ACACACGCGTGCTCTCTCTCTCTCTCTCTCTCTCTCTCTCTCTTACTCTACTTTAGCATCGTTTTCCTATGTCGCCTTTTCACCTCTCCTGCAACCTACGAAAAATGTGAAAAACAAAATAAAGATGGACGTCGAGTCCGAATAAGCGTGTCTCCCATATCTAAAGCCTCCTCGCTCACTCGCACCCCTCTTCACCCAAATATCCCATAAGCAGCAGACGGAAATGCCGACGGTGGCTCTTGCTGATCCACCCGGGAGTCCTCGCCTGGGTGCAAAAGAGACGAGGGACTACGGAGAGAATGGGAGCGTATGGATGGTTTAGTGAGGGAGGGTGAGCAGAGAGAATCCATTCCGAAATTGCCAGTCGCCCCTCTCAGGCTGCTGGCTCGATCTTCCCTCAGGAAAAGCCACCCCAGGCATGAAGCAGAGCCAAACGGCGGCAACGGTGGCGGCAGCAGCGGCACGCTCGTCGTCTCTCGAATACTGATATCTAGCAAAGTCCTTCCCTTAAAACCAGCAGCTACCGGGAATAATGCATTATTCTCTCGAGCGACGCCTCTTTATCTCTCTGGCTCTCTCTCTCTCAATCCTCTCGTTCTCTCTCTCTCGTTCTCTCTCGTTCTCTCATTTTTCCATACTATGCACACCTTTCTGCCTTTTCTATTCCTCAGTGTTCTCGCATCTCTTCTTTCCCTTATTCTTCAATTTTTTAACTATCCCAACTTTGATTCTTACATTTTCGTTTATCGTCATGAGAATTTTATGGACTTTTTGAAGATAAAAAAATGCCCGTTAAAATTATGATAAAGTTTAATCAATTTTTCAAAGTATTTTGACTTAGACATAACGAAGTAAGCAAATTTCCAAGATATCTAAATCTAATAGATAAATTGAAAGAAATGATGGCGATGATTCTATGAGACTGGATAAAATGTACCAGTATAGATTAAGAATATTTTATCTGTTAAATATTTTTTTCTTCTACCTTTCATAACGTTTTATGTTCTAATTAATTCAAATTTTTTAATACATTGTACTTGGTAATATTTGAAATTACGTTAGCCATTTATTTCGGTACTTCTTTTCATTTTAAATATAAGTGTGAATGGCTTGATTCCAAATTTCGTGAATTCGTTGGTAATTTTTCATGTTTAATTAACAGTTATGAACTTCTAGATATTCCATTGTCTGAAACATCATTAATCTTTTATGTAAAATATCAAGCTATTAATACAAGTTGCGAGCTAAATATCTTCAATTTTAGTCCAAAGGCTCTTTATTTTTTGTGTAATGATACTTATTTGGTGCTTAACGTGCTAATTAAATCTATAAACTTAGGTTAATGTATTAAGTCATATTAAGCCGTATTAAATTAAGCAATATCTTACTAAGTAAACGTATATATTTTTCAAGTATTAAAAAAAAAAAAAATTGGAGTACATATTCCTAATCACATATGTTTTATTTGATTTAGGCTTGCAATGAATTTACAACTCACGTCATGAACTTACTGAGGGAGCAAAGCCGTACCAGACCCATAACGCCCAAGGAAATTGAAAGAATGGTTCAGATTATCCATAAAAAGTTTTCGAGCATTCAAATGCAGTTGAAACAGTCGACGTGTGAAGCAGTGATGATTTTACGAAGTCGGTTCCTCGACGCTAGGTATACGAAAACTTTACAAATTCATAATTTAAATATCGCATATTCTTTAATTAGTCCATTTGATTATACGCCTTATGTAATGCACCGGATTTACCGGATTTTAAAACTGTAAAATTGTTTCTTATTGTATAACGTAATTAATTAATTACCATTGTTCATTGTTCATTGTATAAAATTTTTGGTAAAACGAGTAAAAGGAGATAAATAAAAGTGGTATATATACCCTTATAGTATGAAACATGAAATATAATGAATTATATTACATAAATATTAACAATTAAAGCTTAAAGAAATATTATCGTAGGAATTATTAATTAAAAAAATTTAATTAATTAAAATGTATATTAATGATTTTGCGGCAATGTTAATCGTTTCTTTACCAATAGTTAATACTTTTTGCTAGCAATTATAATGTTTGCAGCTTACATTGTAATAAAATTTACTCAATGATTCAACGACGCAGCAAACGAAATTAATAAAAAAAAGCAAAGAAAGAAAGTAAAAAATTATCCACTTGTCGAGCTACATTCCGTCCAGGGCTATTAATATTATTCTCTATTAACGATTTAATAATCGAAATTCTACAATTCCGTTACATTGATGATCAAATAAATATTTGAATATTTACAGGCAATATTTATAAATAAAGTTTGATGTTTTATCAGGCGCAAGCGACGAAACTTTAGCAAACAAGCCTCGGAAATCCTGAACGAGTATTTCTATTCACACCTAAGCAATCCGTACCCCAGTGAAGAAGCTAAGGAAGAACTTGCCCGAAAATGTGGTATTACAGTCAGCCAGGTAAATAAAAATTATTGTCAGTAAGATATTAAGCCTCGGGTAATCTAGCCCATAACGACATTGATTTTTCGCTTAGGTATCTAACTGGTTCGGCAACAAGAGGATACGTTACAAAAAGAATATAGGCAAGGCACAGGAAGAGGCGAATTTGTACGCCGCTAAAAAGGCAGCTGGTGAGTTTTCAGTAGAAAAAACCACGAAGAAAATGAAATTTTTTGGAGACTGTCGTCGGTGCATTAAAGAATTATGTCCACCTCGAAATTTGAGCTTGAGGCTGATTTTATATACTCCATCGTTAAAGAAATTGGTCGTTGTCGTTGTCGTTTCTCGTTTCGGTCAATTATCCGTCGGGAGGATGGCCGCCGTAGAAAGGAAATCATAGCGCGCACTAGTTTCTTATTACTGTAAATCATTAAAGTCGTAAGTTACTGCACATTGTTACTTGCTTGCCTGCGGTGCTCTGTTATTGCGCCTGTCAATAAATCACTTTGGGGCGAGAATAAAATGAGCGATACGCGCCCGTATCTCTGCTGGCTTGTTTTCCGTGTCGCGCCAAGGAAGCAACAACGTGCCTAAGCTAAACTTGTTTATTGCCTCGTATTTTCTCGGGGGTTTTTTTGTTTTTATTATTTTTTTTATTTTTATTTATTTATTTTTTTTTTTTTTTTTTTTTTTTT